TTAATCTTAATCCTAAATCATTGCTCACTATTTGATCCCTCATCCCCCACAGTGTTACATCGTTGGAAGATATTACTGATGCAAAGTCGTTTGAATTATTTTAGGGGAGGAACAGCGTCGACATAGAAGGATCAACGGAAAACAGGATAACGCATACAGGATGGCGCCATAGTGTGGAAAGTAATCTACCCTATTTACTATATTTTTGAACATTTGTTTTAATAAATGTTGCATTAGATCAAAAGACTACTTTTTACACAACAGAGGAGATAAAACAAATGTATATTTTTACACCCTATACTTTTTTGAATATTATGATTCTCATAAGAAAGGGAACATTTATATATATATATATATATATATATATATATATATATATATATATATATATATATATATATATATATATATATATATATATATATATATATATATATATATATATATAATAAATAATGTTCCCTTTCTTATGAGAATCATAATATTCAAAAAAGTATAGGGTGTAAAAATATACATTTGTTTTATCTCCTCTGTATATATATATATATATATATATATATATATATATATATATATATATATAATTATATATAAATATATATATATATATATATATATATATATATATATATATATATATATATATATATATATATATATATATATATATATATATATATATATATATATATATATATATATATATATATATATATATATATATATATATATATATATATATATATATATATATATATATATATATATATATATATATATATATATATATATATATATATATATATATATATATATATATATATATATATATATATATATATATATATATATATATATATATATATATATATATATATATATATATATATATATATATTGCATGACCAAAAACTGATCCGTGTAAAATATGATTTCTTAATATCTAAATAAAAATGCATATATGTATATTACTGAGTAATTTTAAAACTAAATAACTAAGTAATTTTTGGACTTATTTGATGACAAAAGTTGTGACGGTCTGTGCGTAACCTTTAAGTAAACCACACTATAAAAAACAATACATTTCAGGTTTCAGACATGGCCGAATGATCCCAGCAGTCTTGGCCAAAAGAAGTAAGAGAAGAAGGAGAAGGTTACAGATTCGTAGATTGGTGCACAAGCTGTCCGTCCTGTTATCGTAAATTAGTAAAAATAATCTAAAAATACGCAACATAAGATCCGGTTCAGTTTACCAGTATATAGTAGTGGTGCTAATAGTCTTCGAAAAATGAAGGTACATGCTAATTAGCAATATTAGCGCAGGTGTTAGATTAGTTTACTAGTAAAAATGTGCCATGCTAGAATTCATAAGGTCGAATTTTGGCTTCAAGGAGCGGCCAAACTACATTGTTTGGGAATATATCTCATCCACAATAAGTAAACTCCATTGACTGATATGACGGTTGATACACAGATATAGAAGTAAGGAAATCAAAAAGTAAATCACAACGAGCATACACATAGTTGCGAAAAATATTGATAAAGAAAATTAATTTATTTTATTTATTGACACAAAAATCCCAAATTCTTGGAAGGAAAGTTAGGAAGAATAATATAATAGTATTTGGCATTGAAATCAGCCAAGAGAATATTTCAACTGAAATACTATAGGTACAAATTAAACACAAATTTAAAAATATTACCAAAGAAGAGAATAATACTTACACTATCAATACACAAGCTAGACCACCTATTATTATAGAATCTATCTGTGTATGTACCCTTTTCTAATAACCCCTCAACAGGTAACAATCTTGCGGTTTACCTGACACAGAGATCTGAATTGTGGCAAATAGAATTAAAAACATCAAATATCTTGGCATACTATTGGACAGCCAGCTAAAACGGGATATTCATATTCAAACACTAGTTAAAAAAAAACAGATCCCTGGTATATATTTTTAAGTAAACGAGACAATTTTTTTCAATAAAAGAAAATCTTTACACTTTGCGTGGGTCCAGACACTTTTGCTATAAGGCATTATTAGAGTCCTTAAGTATTGCAGGGTATTAACTATTCGACAACTATACTATAAACTAACTATGATTCTTATGCGGAAACTCATTGTTCAACAACCACATATCTCATGATCCTTTTACTAAAGAAAAAGCGAAAGAAAAATTAACACAACTATTTAAATAGAAAATGATAGGGCGATAGCGAACATTTCTATATGTTGGATATAAATTATATAACATAATTCCTGCTGAAATATTATAAATTATAACATCTAAAGGGTTCGGCTATAAATTGACTAATTGGTTAGTTTTGGTCCCACAGTCATTGATTAAGTTTAAGTTTAAAACAATTTCAATTAATGCAATCCATTATTTTGGCTCCTCCTCCCCCCTTTTGGTCAGTTTGTTTTTGTAAGCTAGGATTATATATATTATATTGTGTGGGTTATTTGTAAAATAATTAACACTTAAGATAGCAGACGAGTTCCGCAACTCATGTTTAATTAAGTGTTATGAATTTTGTCACGAATGTTATTATGATGTCTTATTTTTTGTTTATGCCAAATTTAAATTTAATATGTTATTAATAAACAAGTTATTATTATTACAATTATTGTCTTTTTGGCACTTAACCAAAACTTGGCAGCCTTGGCGCTTAAAAGAAGGCAAAGAGGTAGTCAGGAGTGACAGTATGACGAAAGACAAAGCCAGTTTTAAGAAACGAGCGTCATTAAGATCAACCGTTAACTAAATCAGCCAACCGAGACTACAAACCAACTAACCAACTAAAACAACGGCTCCTGATGGTTTGAATGCCCGTTAAATTGCCGAATATCAGATGACTAGGGGTTTGTTCCGTAACGCATAATCTAGGCAATTGGGTTCAATGCCTCAATGCAACTGTTATAACATTGACGTCTTATTAAACATCAGTTACATGAAGTTAAATGAAAAACGGCTTATTTTAAAACCAGTTTAAGCGAAACAACAACAAACATTTTTTTATTAACCTGATTTTCCATTATTAAATAGCGATTTGCACTGGAACAAATATTTTATTATTCATTAATCATTTTCCACACACTTTTTGCGGTTCCTAGAATTACAGTACACAAAAATTATAGAGCTTAAAAATCACCGAAATATTTAGATTTGCAAATTGTAACAAAATAGTATGCAACAAGTGTGGTAAACGGCATTTGAGTTTATTTGTTACGAGCGGGGCGAGTGTTTAAAAAACGAGTAACTTAACATTATTGCAAAACAACACGAATGCATTTACTAATACGACTGTCACTATTGGCAAACTCCAAAATTGAAGCCGTCACTCAACCGATTGCTTAAAATTTAAATAAATAATTTAAAAAATCAATCGGATATCAATCCAAAACATTAACATAGGTAGAGTATAATAACAATAGCTTTCTCATTATTATTATAAAGATTTAAAAAAAGCACCTGACGGTTACGACTGCAAGATGTATTTTCGGCAAATATTTTGTCACTGGCCATGAACTGTAATCAACATGGAATTCCTCCGGCTAAATTTCTGGAAAATGAATAGGGGATGAAGCTTTATGATCACCGTCGTTTTATGCAATTACGAATCTTCCCTTGCAATCACGATAATCGGATTTGCAATAATGAGGAAATAATACATAACCAAAATGAGTTCATAATTAAATCCCATCAATGTTTAGCTCGATGGGAATCAACAAAATAAAATCTGTCAGCAAAGTCAGTTTGTATAAAACCAAACAACGATATTGGAATGCAAGTAGGCGAGTTTCTTTAAAGATATAACAATCAATTTTAGCAGTTTAATATTTGATAGTTGTGAGCACTATATTAATGTTATATTATGTTAAAATATAAGGTGGCCGCTATCCGCCAAAAAAATTATAGCCAATATTGCAGATTTTGCAGACATGCATATATATTCACCAATTTTCCAAATTTGGTTCCCCTATGTGCCTCGAACATTTACCTCATGTCGAAATCGATACAAAAAAACATTTTTAATTCTTCAATATTTTACAGCTTTGTTCGGTCAATTGAAGTTGTGCCTCAAAAAAGAAAGTTTTAAGCAACTGTTCCAATCGTGCACACCCAATGAAATATTCCATTTAATTCCCAAAAACTTCACTTAATTACAAAAATATAATGTAATTTCATATAGATCGATGTAATTTTGCGCAGTTTCTTGTTGTTAAAAACTACTATTTTTCTTTTAAATGCATTTAGAACTCCGATATAGTTGGTCAATTTTTTGTCGTTTCTTCCCTTATCAAGCAACATTCATGGTTACAGGGCGTTGATTTGTGTATAATCCGAAAAAGTAATTTAGCACGAAATTCAGTATTTACTGGCATATTGCAATGAATATGACAGTGTAGTAAATGATGTGCATTCTTGGAAAAGGCAAAATTTTCTCTTGGTTTTATTAGAAATATTCCCTACTGGTGCCACACCGAGGCCACAGGACTTCTGTGATAATGGCTTAGTTTTCCATAATACTTCACTGATAATGCTACTGAATCAACCTACAAATATTCACGTTGCTGTTAATTCAGTATTATGGTCGCACGGTATGGAAATATAGGATACCACAATCCAAACCAGAAAAAGTTGAATAGATTAAGCTATTAGAAAAAGATTTAAGATTACATTCTTAAGTGTTAGTTCAAGCTCATGGGATAGGTGATTTTTTTATAAAAATTTTAATTTGATTTACGTTATTGGCCAAATTTATTCTAAATACCGTTAAGAAGTTTGCGCTACAACATTCCATTCGACACTCGATATACACATTAGCTCGTTTGTAACCATAACTATATAAGGTTCAACATCGTTGATAATTAAAAAAACAGAAGTACCAGATATAGCCGTTGACTCCGTTAATTAATGCTGATAAATTAATGGATTCCGATAGTTCTAGTTACGTATGCGACAAACTTCCTACACTGTCGGCGATATATATATGCATATGGCAACAATTTAATAGGAACTGTAATATATTCCTTGAAAACGCTATATTTGAAAATCGTTTGAGGTTGATATTACATTATGGCGCAATTTTGATTTTAGTTACGTGGTTGATTTGGCACCAGAGGAGCACAGTTTGTATAATATATACTTTTTCTTCGATCAATAGATTTTGGATACATGCACAACCAGGACGAATACGTTCAGCAAGGGACATATGCTGGCATCTTAAAGAGGTAATTGAATTTACAGTAGAGTGTAACAGTAGTAACAGTGGCAAAAAATATCTTAATCTTGTTGGGGTCGCCAAACAATTCTAAACAACTTTTGTCTAACATACCTCATGTCGAAAATGAATAGGTTTGGAAATAAAGCCGTTTAACGTACACTGTTCAGACCTATTTCTTTATATCATGCATCTAATTATGATACATTCAACATCCAAACACGCTTGCCAAATTGAAAACAAGATTCCCTGTTTTTATATTGTTATAATCCTTTTGCACTAAAATCAATAAAATAGTACAACTGCCAATAAACAAACATACGCGTCGCGTAGGCTATAGATTCAGAACAAAAGAAACGACAATCTAAATTTTGACAGTCATAGAAACCGCGTCCTCTAATAATTAATATGTGTAGTAAGTGTACGTTTTTCTTAATTTATAATAATATTTTTATAGTTATCAACAAACAATTTAGTTTCACTTTATCTAAAACAATATGAGAAGACATTTTACAAAATTAATTAATATATAGTAGTAGTATATAGATATAGTAGCTAACATTAATAGTCCAATTTATCTCTTTGCTGCTGATGTGAAATTGTTTTAATATAATTGATAGTCTGGTCGATTGTGCGTCTCTGCAGAATGATTTGGATATTATTGATTTTTGATGTGTTTCTAATAACCTACCCCTGAATACAGATAAATGTTTCGCAATGACATGTCCAAACAAAACTGATACTATAACTTTTAATTACCATCTGGATAAAGTATTATTAAGAAAATGTGACAATTTTAAAGACCTGGGTGTAACGTTTGACATAAAACTCTCCTTCCGAAATCACGTCGAAGAAACCTGTAGAGGTGCATTCAAAATGCCGGGATTCATAGTAAGAAATTCTAGAGATTTTGGAAACTGTTATACTATAGTTATGTGTGCTTGAAACTAGAGTACGGTTCAACGATGTGGCATCCAATATTTGGTAAGTACATTACTCAACTTGAAGTTTTTCCGTAGCATTTTAGAAATCTTCCCGAAAATGAAAATGAAGAAAGGTTTCTAGTCAGTGAAGAATCTTAGTATTATGGTAAATTTTTGAACAGCTGTATTTCAAAATTAATTTTAGACATGGACAATGTGAGACAAACGTTGTTTAGACTTGTTTAGTGAGTTCAAAAAAAAAAAAAGAATATACAGGTCGTCATATTTAAAATAACAAGGTGGAGGTTAATCCTGGTAAAACAGTAAAAAACATTCAATGTACACAACTTTGCAGTGCAATACAAATTTTTTTTCGATGACACACAACTACACTATAAAATTAAAAAAAAACGATAACGATTTAATCAAAATTAAATATGAATGTGATTCATTGATACTTTTCAATAAATCAATAAGACGCTATAGATTCTATAATCTCGTCTTGAAATTAACATGTGCATGATAATTTTTATTACTTATTTCTATTAAAACAAAAGTATTGTCTGCATTTTAAATTAAAAGAAAACCATTCAGATTATAATTACACAGTAAATAAACAGTACAAAATATCATTTTAAATGTTTAAAATAACAATTTAAACATGCTATAGATTTTAAACAAAGAGGCTATCATTATAGATTGTAAAGAAAATCTTTTTTTTTTCTGTTAGCGCTGTCATTCACGAAGAAAGTAATATTTTTTTACTTTTAAGCACATACAACAGATTTTCTTAATTACAGCGTATTCATTACGTAGGTTTGGTTAATAAAATGAAAGAAAATTATTAAGAATAAGCATTACACAATCGTGTAATGCTTATTTTTACACAGTCCATTTATGATACATTTAAAACAAAACAAAAGATTCCAGAGAATATTAGCAAGGCAATTAATTACCGAATAAATCCGCATTTGCGTGTTTGCTTATCGGCAACATATTAAAAATACGAACTACTCTGGAAACCAATAGAAAACAATTAGAAGAACTTGGGGACACTGAAAATGCAAACGATGGCCAACACCTCACAACATAACAAGTGGACTATAGCGAAGACCCACCCAACTTTCTTTTTCAAATGTTAGGAAATCTTTAAGAAGTAACAACCGACCGCCCTCAACATATAAACGGTCCATTTTGATAAATATAACCATCTTATTGTTATAAGAGAACGGAAAAACGCCCTTTTGTAATAAGAAAGTAATAATTCCTTTTAAAAAGTTCGGCATCATGGACGGCCACTGTTTTTAATTCAGAAGTGATAGTTCTAATATTGAAACCACAAACAAATTCTTGCTCCATTTTGAATTATGAATCGTACCGATATAGTATATTATGCAACAACTGCGATAAACGGTATACGAGTCACGAGTTTATTTGGCTCGAGCGTTTAATAAACGAGTGACTTAAAAAATTTACTCAACGAGTTGTATACTATACTTTTTCTACGACCGTTAGTTTTTAGTTACACTTTTGCAAAAAAACACGGATACATTCACTGACATGACCGTCAGAATTGACAAATGTCAAAAAATTGCCATCTGTACGAATACCGACATGTGAAGGGACATTCAGAAGTGAAAAAACTATCGATTGCTCCCAAACTATGACTCATGTATGGAAACTGCTGAAGTGGCTCGCGGCAATAAATAATAAAGCTGATTTCCACCATAGCGTAGTGCAATCTTTAATATTACTAAACTTTTTCTACGAATATTAGTTTTTGCCTACTGTACGAATACCGATATGTGAAGTGAAATTCAGAAGTGAAGAAACGTCAAAATACTAACGCTAAAATCTACCGATTGCTCCCAAACTATGACTCATGTACTGGAAACTGCTGAAGTGGCTCGCGGCAGTAAATAATAAAGCTGATGTTCACCATAGCGTAGTGCAATCCTTAATATTATTCATTTTGATAACGTTTGCACCGTTCTGAAATTTGGGAAATAATAAAACCATATTTTAACCAAAAATTAATGCACGGCACTAGTAGGCAACATGTCGATAAACTTCTTTGTCGCTCGTTTAATAAACACTGTTCGGTTGATTATTGGCTGCGCGTTTCAAAGAAAGCTATTTAAAATTGACGGTTGATTTTAGACAGTTGCTGTTGGTGGCTACGCATTACGCAAATCAACCAGGCAGATGCTACGACTCGTTACCGTTCAGGCACATGGACCGTGCGATTTGGAAAGCAAGATCAAAATTATTTAAACGCGTCAAACTAACACAAGGAAGTACACCATAAATAACTTTTATTACCGCTCGCCGCACGTTTTCTGTTATTACTTTCTGTATGGTTTTACGTTGTCGGGAAGATGAGAATTTTGTCAAGACCGAAGATAGCAAAATCAGTAAAATTATATACTATAATATAAAAAAGTGTAGTATGACCAAATAGTAATCATCATTCACAGTATCTCAACAGTGCGTCGGCGGTTGATATTATTAGACATTATAGCAAATTAATTACCTAATTTACTGGCAAATCTGGTTAAGTAACGCAACTATTGTTTTTTGTTTTCATATAAAAGACACGCTTTTTGAATTTATGTGGATATTTTTCTAATTTGGTTAAATTTTAAAATATATTTTTTTAATTTTTTAATTTTTTTAAAATAATTTTAAAATATTATTGTCCGACTCAAATTTTTGCAATATTTTTTCAGTTTTAAATTATTTTTAACCGAAAATTTGAAAATCATCACGTCACTGTTTTCGACGTAAATAAAAAGTCCCGCTGCTTTACAGCATCCAAAGTAATCTTTATTTTCTAATGAATTATTGACCGGACAGTTTAACTACATCACACAGATTTTTTTTTTATGATTTTGAGATATCATCACAGATTACATTACAATTTACATTTGATACTTCTAAGTTATATGTCTCTTGGTAATATATGCCTTCTTCAGAACATAAATTATTGCTGCCCAAAGACGAAAGAGTGCAACATGCTGGCTATTGACCTACTCGGAGAAAAGAAAGCATAGGAGGCCAAATTGGCTAAAACCATGTAAGAATATGAAATAACGAAGATATTTTTCATAGCGTATTATTAAATGCGGATCTTTTAATTTATAATTTAAGCCCTAGTTAAAAAAAGTATTAATTAGAATTTAATTATCACCGTAAAGATTGGCTAATTGAATTACGCATTAATTTAATTTAATTAATAATTTTTTTTTCGCTGTTAAATTTAAATGTGACAATAAAATTAATACAGATACATTATTTGCCAATAAATAGATACAAGTAAAAAAATGAAAGATTGGTAAATTATTTTATTAAAATAAGAAAATATGGAAATACTAATTTCTACATTTCCTGAAATACAATATTAAAACTATTCGCTATTGGAAATGAAATGCATGTTTCATACGGCCAGAAAGGTGCACAGATGCATGAATTGCATAACCTAATAACCTAACAATATTACATATATTATAGCCGAGGCAAGAATAGTATATTATGCAACAAATGCAGTAAACTCACGAGTTTATTTGACACGAGCAGGAGCGAGTGTTTAATAAACGAGAGAGTTAAAAAGTTTACCGAACGTGTTGCATACTATACTTTTTCTACGACCGTTAGTTTTTGGGTACATCCTCTCGCTCCCAAAACCGTGACTAATGTGACGGAAATGTCAAAAGTGTCTGGCGACCGTGGGTATCGAAGATGACATTTGTGGTATTTTTCGCACGCTGGATACGTAGATAATTGGGTATTTTAAAGTAGGGAGTAAAAAAAAATTCTTAATTGTTTGATAAAGCACCTATATTAATATCGTGCATATCGTGCGTCCGTTACTCGGTTACGTTAGATTTATTAATTTATTTTTGTAAGTCTACGTCGAGTAAAAATAGATATAAATAGAATAGTTTCCGTGAATACAGAGAAGTAGAAAAGTAATAGGATTTCCGCGTAGCGAATGCTGCGTAGGCAACACTGAAAAACGTAAGCGGATAGTAGTGCACTTGGTTTCAGTTTTCTCTTTTTTTTCTAATTATTTGTTCCGTAAAGCGCTGCTCTGCATACATACACCAGAAATAAAAACGAACCATTTATTTGCACGGCGATGGTGATTGAAAACTCTCTATAAAAAGTCAAATGTTTCTAATTAAAATTTCTATACAATACTGTAGTGGTTTTAGGTCCACTAATCTTGCACCATAAGTGTCAATTTTAGAAGAAAATGTTTAAGTTTACTTATAAACGTTTCACCGATACCTCAAAACCTTCGGTGCGCTACTGAGATGGCAAAATTTTAAATCCAAAAATACTTTTGCCAGCAGATACCATTAATTGTTCCTAAGAAGTTTTGCGAAAACGGCTAATTGACGAATAACCTTGATTAAAAGGAAGACTGGCATAAACAACTTTTGTTTATGCTACAGAAAATGAAGTGAGGAAAATATAAACCGAAAGCCTTTGCTCGCCTGAAGCGACGGAATATGGGTCCGACGATTTAGGTAGACTAAATAAATTTACTCTCAATTGGTATGGGATTTTCTTTGTTCTATCAATAAATGAAGAAACCCGCTTCTTTGTAACAAAAAAAAATTATAGTAGATTTTATAAAGCGAAATGTTTATTCCGGATCGTTTCTGTAAATGAAAGATACCAGCAGTATCGTAAAATAGACAAATAACCAGGAAGCCGACTCTCCTGAAAATCTGTGATGTTTCACAAATCATAATTCCATTACCGAGTCGTATTAAAAAATTTTGTTATAAATTATACCAAATTTAACATTTCGAAGAGTTACATTAATATAGTTCGTTTGGTTTATGTCAATTAGATAGTTCCCCTAACTACACTTACTAATTTCGGTCGATTTCGTTGATCAGTTTGGGAGTTTTATTTTTGTCATCTGCAGGACATTTGCTTACTTCCAATATTAATTTTCTTTCCACGCTTAGGTGCCTCCTTTCGTTTTTTTTTGCCTTGAAGCATTATGGTTATGCATTTCGTTAACTCAAAACCCCTAGGGAAATATCGGACGTTTTATTAGTGTCTAATTGTGGGGTTCAATCGTACTAACTAAATCAATTTATATGAGCCATTTTTGTCACGTTTCACCGAGATCACTAACCGGATATTGAGTAAGATATTTACTCAGATGGCCTCTGGTTTTTCCTATTTTAAAAGTAACAATAGCTTCATTCAGTGCCTAGGAGACTGGTGTAAATTTTCAGTTTAAGTCGAAAAACACTAAAAACAAGTTACATATTTAGCATGTAATTTGCAAGCCTTGAAGTCTAATTTAAAATATTTTTTGTATTTTTTAAAGTTCCCGCGCAGCCTTGCGGAATCGCTTCCTCCACTCCCGTCGGCAAGTGACGAATTGTAGACGATCACTTTATGGGATAATATACAAACACCGATATGTAGGATCGAAACAATGTGATTTTAATAATAGATTCCTCCTGCGTCGGTTTTTGCTGAGTCGAACTTGCTGACGATTCGCCAATCATCCTGTTGGCTTCTTCAGAGCTTGACTGAAACCAGTTTCGAAACGTTAGCAAGTTCGACTAGGCAAAAACCGACGCAGGAGGAATCCAGAAGTTTTGTAAAAATATTACAGTAGCTTGTGAAAGTTTCTTTGAAAAAAAAAAGAAATTTTCTGTTTGAGGTTGTAGGCAGTTTATTGAGTGCCATTTGGGTGTTAGTTCTAAGCAAGTTTAACAATAGAAAACAGAAGTAAATTTGTAATAAACTATGCCTAAAAGGATAAGCGGTAATATTAAAGCTTTAGTTAATTTTTATTCGATATTCACGAAATTACTATTAAATCAACTGGTAAAACATAAAGTTGTAATAAAGAAAGTTAACAGAAAATAGTCATGGGAAAGGTAAAGTTTAATAAAATATTTTTCTACCTGTAGGCGTTCAAAATAGTTTCCACCAAATAATAATTATAGTAAAATACATGCGACAAAATATGATGTTATGAAAGCAAAAATCTATTTTAGAAAGGCGGACGACAGAATACTGTAACGAAATCTTAAGCCGCTTGCATTATTTGCAAAATTTATTTTTCTTTAGGGAGTACAGGTAGTGAGTGACCCGGCTTTGGGTCAATTTATGAGTTTTGCCCATTGTTATCCATTCACTAACGCTGTGTGCTGAAGGCACCCCCTTTAAGATGCTCGTAAAAAGGGAAGAATATTTTAACAGAAGATGTGCTAGGTATTATATACGTATTATTATGCATTAGGCGTCGTTATTTTTTATTAAACGAAAATCATAATATTCTTCGTCTCTTCAACTCTTGATGTTATAATTAATGGACCGATGGTCCGATCGATCAAGTAGCTAAGATCCCACATTTCCGTCTTTTTAATGGCATGCTGCATTGCTTTTAGCCATCTATGGTGTAATTTCCTCAATGTTTTGATCAAACAGTAGACTAAATGCATGTCGTGTTGTATATAAGTCCGCAATCACATGGTGTTGTACTATGTTTTATAATAAATCTGGTGGTTAAGCAGACGAGAATTTCTTGTTTTCTCCAAGATCAAGTAATGGGTATGTAAATGAAAAAGTCGGTAATAAAGCAATTGAAAGAACACTAATCTAATAAAAGATCTGGTTGCGAAGCTACCCGGAAATAGAAAACAAAATTAGGAGATAAATTCAACAATAAAATTGGTGAAGATGCAGTACATTTTACAAAAGAAGGCATAAAAAAACTAAACAAAAGTTATACCACCAAAAATCCAGAAGTAAACCAACAAAGAAAAGAAAAATTTACAATCCGGAAAACTACAAAAAAATACGCTGCTAAAAATTGAAAATGTTAAAGATCCAAAAATAGCTGTAGAAAAACTAAAACAGGAAATAGATGTAAAGAAATTTGGAGGAGGTCTTAAAGTATTCGACCAACAAGAGATAGAGCAAATTATAATAGAAAGAAAATTATAAATGTTATAAACACAAAGCAGATATAAACATCAAACAACTAAATAATAATATTAATTTTCAGATAACAAGTTCATAGAAGGTATACAAAGATTGAACGCAGAAATAGTGCAAGAATTAGGGCACACCGTCATAGTCAAAATTAAAGTCATCATGAAAAAGCTTTGTAGAAATATATTAGATAAGAATTGGATTCTACAAGCGAATCACAATATATGGTTGTACAGTGCAGACAAAATTAATAATAAGTAAACATTGTGGATCTGGATCTGTGTATTATAAGATAGTGGAAATCTCGGAATCAACTTAAGAAAAATTTTAGAAGTATCGAACGCAAGGAAATTGATGAGTCATCATGACAAGGGAAATTTGAATGTACGGCTATGGAATGCATAGTACAAAAAAAGGATATTACCGTAATATGAGTCGTATTATTACCTTAGGACATTTAGATGTATTTTTAAATATGCTGTCATTGTTAGATATAGAAAATAGATATAGAAAGTACATTTCCTTTCATTGTCTAGATCATAAAATGTTGGATAAAATTTTTATATTTAATTTTATATTTTTCCAATAAAAACCAGCATGTCATTGTCCAAAATGAAAGCACAGCTATAAAATCGGAAATTTTAGAAAATTGTGTTGAATTACCGCAGGGTAATACTAGTACAGATTTTATTCATTTCTTATTCCAACAACCTGCCAATGAGTTTAGATAATTTCTTGAATAGAAACATTGCGGATGACACAAACATCCTAGTAAATGAAGAAAAAATATCCGAGGAAACAAATAAAATACACAATAGAGAGTTTATTGAAAATATAAATTTCTTAGGAATTCACATAAAATATATCTAGACATTCATATACAAACGTATGCACAGAATTAACATGAGAGATCAGAAAATGTAAAAAATGAAGAACAAAAACTCTTTTAGAGGAAGCTTTAAGCAATTGAAAATCACTGTGACTGCAATCTAATATTTATATTCGAAAATAGTTCTCCGGAAATATAATAATACCAAATTCTGTGATACGAATTATCACAATTCGATAAAGAAAGCTGTTAAAAATAGTCTCCAAAAACACGCAAATTCATGCCCTTGTAGTAATCTTCTATATGGTACGATTGAAAGGTTAGCAAACCTTTTAAAAATCCATCTTCGCTTCCAGTATTGACAAATGTTAGTATGTCCCTTAATCCTGAATGCTTTCTATGAAAGCTTAGCGACCACTGCTTATATTTTTGTTTTGACACATTTTTGGTACTATAAGGTTGTTCGGAAAGTCATTTCGTTTTTTCCCGTTAGAGGATTTAATTACGTTTTTTCGAAACCAACTTCACACTTAAGCCGCATAACCATTATATGTCTTGAGAGCTGATATTGCAAGGCTTGTGTGTGAAAAAGTTCTATTAATTCTACGCAGTAGTTTTTGGTTGGTGAACTTTTAAATATGGAGAGCAATAAGCAGCATTTTCGTCATATTTTACTTTTTTACTTCAGAAAAGGTAAAAATGCTGTCCAAGCGAGAAAAAAATTGACGGATGTGTATGGAGAAGGCGTGTTAACAGTACGCCAGTGCCAGAACTGGTTTGCAAAATTTCGATCCGGCAATTTTGATGTCGAAGATGCACCACGGTTTGGAAGGCCGGTCGAAGCTGACAAAGATGCGATAAAGGCATTAGTTGATGCAAATCGGCGAATAACCACACGAGAGATCGGTGAGAGATTAAATTTGTCAAATTCGACTGTTTATGGCCATTTGAAAGGCATGGGCTTAACCTCGAAGCTCGATGTGTGGGTGCCCCATGTCCTTACGGAGCGAAATTTGTGTCGTCGCGTTGACGTGTGTGATTCGCTCCTCAAACGTCAAGAAAATGATCCATTTTTGAAGCGGATTATTACCGGGGACGAAAAATGGGTTGTATACAACAATGTTAAATGCAAGAGGTAATTGAGCGGAAAAGATGAACCGGCTCAAAGCGTGTCAAAAGCCAACATTGACCAAAAAAAGGTGATGCTCTCCGTTTGGTGGGATGTCAAAGGAATCGTTTTATTTGAGCTTTTGCCGGACAATACAACGATTAAGTCAGAAGTCTATTGTCATCAACTGGACAAATTGAATGATTCACTTAAAGAGAAGAGGCCCGAATTAATCAACAGGAAGGGTGTAGTGTTCCACCAGGATAATGCGAGACCTCACACAAGTTTGGTCACTCGCCAAAAACTTTTACAGCTTGAATGGGACGTACTGCAACATCCACCATATTCTCCAGATCTGGCGCCTTCCGACTACTATTTGTTCCTGTCCCTGCAAAATTTTTTGGATGGCAAAACCTTTACCTCAAATGAAGATGTCAAAAACCACCTGAACCAGTTTTTTTGCCAGCAAGGACCAAAACGAGAGGGGAATTATGTTACTGCCAGAAAGATGGCAAAAGGTGTTGGACCAGAATGGCCAATATATAATTTAATAAAATATTTATTCATTATACGAAAACTGTCTTTCATGTTCCCCAAAAAAAACGAAATGACTTTCCGAACAACCCAATATATGACATTGATTATATTTCAGCGTTAATCTTAAAGTCAAACTTTAGCGTAAATTTCCTATAGTTCAGGCATCCACGGTTAAAACTACTAATCAGCAAATATCATAATTATGCAAAACCAACCAAACAGTAAGAGTTAAAGGAATATAATATAAGTAATAATAATAATTTATAAAACGATAAAGTACCTGATAAATTTCTGCAAAATAACTTTTTTTACGAATATTTTTTATATTTTATTTTAATACGTTAACCTTCCCTCATTTCTAAACCATTTATTTAGCCTTCGCGGTTTCTTTGAGCTGAAAACTTTACGATGGACATAAAGATATGAAAATAAATATTTTGGTTTCGATAGCGCGTATTCTCCACATCTTAGCTATAAATTGAGCAGCTTCTATTTATTCAAAATTCTAACAATTCGTTTAAACGGTATGCGCGGAATGTAATTTGCTAAATTATCGGATCGTTATATCATTCATTAACATTCCTAGCCGTAAAGTATGAAATAAAGATATTTTTGAGAAAATGCTATTTTCGTTTTATATGCATGCTGTACAGCTACGCCGCAATTCTCGGAATAAAACTATCAAAATTAAACAATTTAGTTTGATGGGAGGATGGTTAATGTTAAATTACTGTAATTGGATTTTCAGCTGATAACAGAGTTCCTAGATACAATGAAAAACAAATCATTTATTTGCTTAACGAAAAATAAACATCTACACTTTCGTTTTTAATGAACAGATCTATTAATATATTTAAAGTATAAAATGCTTAGATTATAAACATCAAAAATGGAACTTTTTTCTAATTTTACCGACCTTATAGCTTTCATTGTTTCGAATAGAAGCAATGGCAAATGTCAACAAAATGGTTTTTTTATTTATAACAGGTATTTTATTTGAGAAATATTTTTTCCCGTTAAAATCACACTATTAAGGATGAGAAGACAACTGTATAAATATATAAAACTTTGTCTAGTTTGGTTAAGCATAGAAATAAATGAGACAAATATATCAGAAAAGAAAACTTACCGAAAAGTCCACCAGATGTTGAAACACATGGTATTGAGCCAGAAGAAAGCCGATAAAAACAGGAAGTGCATGGCGACGGCTGCAAAAAAAGCAAAAATTTCTCTAAAAAGAATTGAAAATTGCGATGACAATAAAATTATAGACAATATGAGGTCGAGTCATTTTATATATGTACTTTATTAAATTTTGATTATCACACACATTTGCACATAGAAGATGGCAGCGGCAAAGGTGATGGCTGTTTTTAATGCTAGTATAGGCAACAAATTTTTTACTAAAAGTACACCAAAATTCATCAAATAATATAGATCCAGCAGAAAGTAGCAATATGGGATGTTCCATAACTTATAGAGCAACCGGTAATATTATACATTTAAAACAATTTATTTATTCAAAAAATGTGGTGTAGAAAGACGTAATTTTTTAAAAGTGAAACTATTTTTTTTTTACTTAACGATAACAGTTATCAAATTCATGAAGATGGGGCTCGAACACACACAAAACTCACACTTTGTTCGCGAATATTACCATATTGATATATTACTTTATATTACGATAATAATGTATATAGTATTTAATTTTTTAATATATAATAATTTCAAAAAACAAATTACCTGGTACAAATCGTAAAGTTACCAAATACAACACATGGTCCCACAACATTAAAAAGACATTTTACGCATTAATCAAAATCTGCACTATGCGTTTTGTCAAACTCGCTGCACATTTACACATAATATTTATTTTAAGTAAGCGTGGGAGGGTGTGGTATTGTATCTCATTTCTGATTGTGCCCTGTTTTTAAATGGTTTAAAAAATTGCATTATATTAAAACTGTTTCACAAATCTCTCGTTGACAGCGTCATAAAACACAGATTCTAAAGCGCTTGTTTATGAAAATTGCCATAATAGTGACTCAATTTATTAAAATTACAGCCTAAGCCGTCGCCGCAGTGCATTTATTAAAGCACTATTATCAATAAATAAATAAAATCTAGAAACGCCTCATTAGTTCCTTTGGTTGTTAAATTTAAATGGCCCGTAGTTAATATTTCTCAAGTGAAATGGCGGAGTGATATAAATGGGAGCTGCTTTTCATAATATATTACGCGCATCAATTGATGAATCTAGTAGTAAAGTTCATATCTCACATGGCAAGCCTTCACAGCACTTTTATTTCGGCCTTACGCATCAGTCACCTGATGCAATTTTCATTCCCATGCACAAGTGGGCTCAAGTTGGTCAACATATCGAAATGTCACTTATGGAATAGAAATAAACTGTGTACAATATCATAAATTCAATCCATTAGCCATATATTTTTATGATGTCAATTATAAAAACAGCAAGAAAGAGCAGCAAGGTGGGTATAATGATCGACAGTTAGATTTATTTTGAAAATATCTTATAACAATTTACGTTGATTCCTTAAAACCATTTTTGTACATATAACACTAAAAATTTACTTATTCTAACTAAATTACACATAAATTGATCATTTCTGACATGAATGGTCACTAAAGTTAAATCTGTAGAGCAGATACAAAATTAAGGCCCTACAATAAAAAAAATTATCTAAGACGAAAGTTTATAAAAAAGTTCAAAATAAATAAGAACTAAAAGTTCAGATTTTCACGAAATTAAATATTTTTACATGATAATTGTTTCGACAACACCGTGCCTTATCAAAAGTAATATTTACAAACTTCCTGCTACTATATATACCGAAAAATGACAATAAAACTTTAATTAATGTTGTGAGAATTTAAGTTTAATAATGGAGAGGTATGTAAATCGAATTGACCGTTAAGCAATACATTTAAATGTCTCATTTTGTTAGTCTCCATGGCTTCCAATAAATTAAATTTTCTACTTTTTGTACGCTCTTTTATGTTCGTTAATGCGTTTCTTGAAGGATCTACCAGTTTATCCAATACAAATTTTAGGACAAGATCCGCATTTCAACCTGATTACCTGATTTTTGAGATTTTGGACATTTCGTCTTATTGTTTTTTAAATATTTTCCTATTGTATTGTTAGTTCTGAACGCTATTTTTAAACCAGATTTTGACCAATGTTCTTAAACTTTTTCACTAGGTTCTGCATTAGGTTTCGGATAAATAGAGTTTACTGTTGTCTGGATTTGTTTTTTATTTATAATTTTATCTATAATGGACGGATTGTGGCCGTTGTTCAGTGCAATTTGTTTAATGATATCAAGTTCTTTGTTGTAATTTTCTGCGGAGAGTGGCGTATTAAGAAGTCTGTGTATAAAAGAGTGAAATGCAGCGATTTTGTGTGTAAAAGGGTCATTTGAGCTGTTATGTATGACTGTGTCCGTGTGTGAAGGTTTATGATAAATGGAAAAATCTAATTTGTTTTGCGTTTTCGTAATAGTTAAGTCCAAAAAATTAATAGAGTAATCCTGTTCAATCTCGATAGTAAATTTTATACCATTATGTAATGAGTTAATGTAATTTAAAAAAGAATTCAATTGTCTGTCCGTTCCAACAAAGCAAGCAAAGACATCATCCACGTATCTATACCAACAAAGAAAACTTTTACTTAAAGGATGTTCTATTATGATATTTTCTAAATTACCCAGGTTTTCTGTCCATTAAATTCAAAATAATTTTGGTCTAAAGATACTATTAAGCAATCTAATAAATCTTGTTTCACCAATGGGTTAACCTGTTTCCGAGTTAGGGTGAAATCTGCGATATTTCCAACTAATGTGACGGGTTACAAATTTGGCTGGAGCGTTCCCCTTAAACGTTAGTTGGAACGACTAAATACGACTGCCGCAATATTCCAAACCAATCCGATAGTCTGTGGCAATCAACCTCCCTATAACATTTACATTTTCAATTGATATTACAAGATTTTACTAGTCATACTATACAATTTTGCCGATCCTGAAAAATTCCGAACTGAAGAATGTGACATATTGGTGACATTACTTTCCGCACCATTGACCGACATGCATAATTGGCTATTTTAGAGTAGGAAGTAGAATAATTTCTTTTTCCCTCATCACTAAAGTTGTGCTGTATTTGCAGCGCACACATCACAACACTTTTATATATGTCATTTTTATTACTCTCTCTGAGATTCTAATTCTAATTCAATTTTATTAATCAACGGCTTCAGTGACCCAAAATGTTTATTGCAAAATTTAATATATACAGGGGTATTTGTTTTTTGATTTTTGCATTTATTGCTTACTCCGCGTACTCAGCAATCACTGCCGGAGATATTTTTTCCTATATAAGCAGAATGTAATGGGAAAGCGTGATTGCGTCACGCACAGCTGAACCTCTATTTTCTTCAAAGGAGAATGTAAAACACGTTAAACCATTTCGAAAAATGTCGAAATTGCATTTCACGCAGGATATGCCGTACTCGCTTCGGAGAAAAGATGAAGGATAATATCGGAGCGCTCTGAACATGTAATTTAATTTACACGAATTATAAGTGATCTGTTAAATCCCTCAAGATAATTCGTTACATAAGCGGTTTAAAACAAATTATAAGTCCTAATTGTGTATCTCTATTATAGATACCAACTTCGTTGAAGCTGTTTGTATAGTTTACAAAAAAAAGAAAAACAATTAATATTTCGGAAACAGATATGAACGTTACATCGTTCATAATATTTGAATTCAATAGAGCAGACTCAAAAACCAGGGTATAATAATAAAATTGAATAAAATTATGAACTAGTAAAATAAGTATTAAGGGATTTCGTGGAAGATATCAGCGAAAAATATTTTTTCAAATAGTCTCAAATACCCATTTATTCACTGATCAAGTAGAAAGTGTCACTTTAAGTATTTGCTCGAGCCACTTCGGAAATTTCTGGTACATTGGTCACAGCTTTGGGAGCGATCTTCGGTTAATCCCTGATGGTATTTTGACTAATTCTCATGGTCACATCACAAGTCGCCGAGCGGTTTTACAAAAATATACCCGAAAAATAATAGTCGCAAAAAAAGTACAGTATGCAATACGTTGATAAAGTTCATAAGTTTATTAAACAATAATAACAAAAGCAAACTGCGACAAATGTATCAAAGTAGTTGCATAGTAACGGGTGGTTAAATTGTAAGGGCCGATGTTGAATGTGAACCACACCTAAACGCCAAGTTTTTTTCCGAATTTTATTTGACATTTCTCTATTTCAGACTTACTCAATTTGAACCATGGAGAGATACACAATCCAACAACGTGTTAAAGTTATCCAGACTTATTATGAAAATGGGCGTTCAAATCAAAATGCATATCGTGCACTTCGTGATTTTTTTGATCAATTTGATCGTTCAAATGTGCGTACAATCGCAAAAATCGTGAAAAAATTCGAGCAAACCGGGTCTGTAGAAGATGTGAGAACACCAGTGCATGCTCGTACAGCTCGTACTGCAGAAAATATTGCTGCTGTTCGCGATAGTGTGGCTGAAGAGCCGTCCACCTCAACTCGTCGTCGTGCCCAACAATTGCACCTCTCACGCTCGTCGTTGATAAACATTATGCATAAAGACTTGCATTTACACGCTTACAAGGTGCAATTGGCTCAAGAACTAAAGCCTCTTGACCATTCCAAACGTCGTGAATGGGCAGAATGGTGGCAAGAAATGGCAACAGTGGATGATCAATTTTCGAAGAAAATCATCTTCAGTGATGAGGCACATTTTCACCTCAGTGGATTCGTCAATAAACAGAATTGCCGCATTTGGGCGAATGAGAATCCAAGAGTGATTGTCGAAAAACCAATGCACCCCCAAAGAGTGACTGTTTGGTGCGGTTTATGGGCTGGCGGCATCATCGGGCCGTATTTTTTCCAAAATGAGGCCGGTCAGGCAGTTACTGTGAATGGTGTTCGCTATCGTGAGATGATAACGAACTTTTTATGACCCGAATTGAAAGATATGGATGTGGACGATATGTGGTTTCAGCAGGACGGTGCCACTTGCCACACAGCTAACGAAACAATGGCTCTTTTGCGCAACAAATCCAATGGTCGTGTTATCTCACATAATGGCGATGTCAATTGGCCGCCAAGATCATGTGATTTGACACCGT